TTCAAATTGATTAAATAGATAAATAAAATAAATAATGAAAAATGTTCTCAACATTTAGGTAAGGAAATAGAATACAAAGACCAAGGTCTTTTTTTCCAGTTTATTTAATTTACTTCAATTTATATACCTTTCTACTAATAATATGCATATTATTAACAATAATTATTGCTCTGTATCTCTTTACTACACTGAATGAAAATAGTAATGTTTTGAAAAGGGAAAGTCAGAAGTTTCATATTATAATTTCTGGAATTATATATTTTGGTATTTCCATAGTAAAACATTTTAAACTTAAAAGTAAAAATCAAGCTCATGGTTTCTTGCAGCTCTGTCTTTTTTGTGGTAAAACTGACATTCTTTAAGCTATTTTCAATCTCCTCAAAACTTTAGATATCAAGGAATTTAATATTACTGAAAATCAGCTAACTTTGCTTCTGACCATCTTAATTAAGCTACTGAAATTTAGTACTACATTTTTTGGCATTAATTATATTATTCAAAACAACAGCTCAATGAAATAAACAGTTAAAATCCTTTGGGAATGAAATTTTATTAAAATACCTGTACTTTTAAACAAACAGGTAGTTTTTTTGCAGGATCACAATTTTCTTTAGAGAATTCATGGAAAATAATAATAATTTTACAAAGACTAAGGAAAACCTAAATGGTTGATTAAATAATCCAAACAAACTGCAGGACATGTTGATCACTCATTTATAGGTCATTCATCAATGATGATCATACAAAGCTTGTTTTATGTACTTGGTTACTATTTCAATACTCTGTTGAAAGTTTTCAGTAGAATTCTTAGTTTTAAAAAATGGGAGATAGTTAGGTATTCAGCTTGCCAGAACTGATAAAAAATAGGAAAGGATAACTGCATAACACAAATCCATTATAAAATTCTATTCCAGTTATGTGTGCAAGCAGAAATTATTAAAGAGGGCAAAATAATGATTTCACCTATTGTTATACTAAGTTTATGTTTAGAGTTCTAAACTGCAAAACAGGAGCAAGAAGGGGAATTAAATTTCTGTCTTCATTGTACATGGCTCCATCTAGCTTTTCTCTCTCATTTATTTGTCTTCTGAGAAATGCTAGTGTAAGTTGTGCCTATTAACAGCTAAGGGAATTTAGTTTTAACAACAATTTGGAAAACTAGAGAATAGAACTTTGAAAAACAACTGCTGTCTGTTCAACCAAAGGAAATTGAGCTGTTTCCACAACAACTGTGTATGTCAGGAAAGGGTGTGACCTTTTAAATGAAGTAGTGCCACAGTACCAGTGGCACAAAGTTCTGATCAATTTAGGGCCACAAGGTACCTGGAAAATTATCACATGAATGTGACCACTGATAAGGCTGATTCAATATCCAGTAAATAAAGGAAAGGGAAAGCAAAAAACATAGTTCCATGCTATCCCATCGCACCCTAAACAAAAGGACCAAGGAAGTGGATATAATTTTTATTTTATATAATTCTGATAATTTTTAACACTTTTATATAGTTTTGCTCTTCATCAAATTTTTAGTCCTTGTTCTTCTTTAAGTCTCGTATTTGAAAAATACACATACATGTATTTAGCAACAAAGCATCAATAGGAAGCAGATTATGTCAAAAATCCTTTTCAGATTTTATCTAAGCTTCAAAGTTTAAATAAATACTAAGTGGAATTAAGAGATAGAGGGAAAAGTTGTTATTTTTTAAATTATTTTTTTAGTTTAAGAAAACACCATCAAGAAAACAGAAAAACATTGCATTATGTCTCATTAATCTTTCTAAGATTGGCAAATTCTTTTCTAATTGGCTCAGTAACAACACACAGATACATTTACAGGCCAAAAAATGCACAATGGCAGTAATCCTAATTTCTATTACAGCCGTGCCGTATTACCAAGCCAATGAGGGAACCTTTAGGTGTAATAGATAGAAGCACTTGGCCTTCTCACTGCAGAAAATTATTTTTCCCATTGCTTAATTTCCAGCCTTGTTATGATGTTACTGATCACACTGCCCACAGAACTAAAAAGCTTTCAAAGAGACCCCAGAGAGTTTGTAGCTAAGATATCATGCCTGTTACTACAAACATTAGACTTTCCATTTATTACCAATAAACTAAGATATGTTTTAATGCCAATATGAGGTTAGAATGTCCATCCTAATGGGATAAGAATGCTGTTGCATGCTTCCGAACACTCTTCCATCTTCGTTTAATGACCTTTACTATCACTGAGTTAGTTGATATCTTTATGTTAAAGCTGCCCTGTCTCCAAAGATCCATGCTGAAGATGACAGAAGTCTGTGCTTCTCTGCTTATGAACTGACAGGCAAAATTCACATTTTGCACCTCTCTCATCCTAAAATGCATGTTTTCTTTGTATGGGTCTGAATATCAGATCAGAGGACCTGATAATGAAATAAACATCACAGATAACAACTTCATTTCTAATTACCCCTTTTTCCCCAAGACTTGAGAAAGAAGGCAAGCTTCTCCATACTAGTGCAAATGCAGGTCTGAGAACCTGATTCAGGCATTCACACTTCTTTAATATTTTTTTCCCCAATTGCCTCATCTTTGCATAAATGAAAGAGAGTGTGATATGGGTCAAATAATTTTCTGACATGCATGTCACTGCTGCCACTTCTTTGTAGCTATTCAACAAAATGCTGATTCCAGAGGAGAAACTGTTTTAAAAGTAACCTGGCAGTAATCTCCTTCAATTTCAAAGCCAGCCTATGTATCATGTCAGCTCTTTTTCCACCTACATATCAGTATTAAAAACTTCCACTGAAACCCTGCTGTATCTTAGTATTTGCTTTATTTGACTGATAAAGCCATTTTAAAGTCAGGCAACAACAGTAGTGGAGAGAATTTAGATTTTCATTTGAGAAACTTAGGGTTAATTATCAATCAAAATATAATTTGAAAACCACTGCAATGCAAAATGGTTGTTCTTTCATAATAAGTCTCTTACTGTCCATTTTATAGATCACAAGTGTGTAACCTTTAAGAATGTATGACTTTCTGCAAATAAAATGTAGCATATGTCTTTTCCTGGTAAACTCTCTTCAAACAGAAGCACCTAAGGGCAATATTAACAAGGATATTTTGCTTTGTTGCCATGAGTAAAAAACAGGCAGAGGAGTCAAGGAATTCCTTTTTTCTTAGTTCACTGTTCCAGATATAAGCATTTCAAGCCCAAGGCAGGATCTTTAACAGTAGCAGGCTCCTGTGAAGTGCTGTGATGATGATTTTAGTGAAAATCAGTGAAAATTAAAGTGTTCACCGAGAATGAGTACTTCAAGGTGAAAACTAAGATACAACTTGAGGAAAACCAAAGACAGAAAAGTTAGTTTTGGAAAAGCTGGAAGACAAACAGGCAACAAAACAGCAAAACTTATTTTAATTTATCATTAAGGAGTATTCTCTTGACTTTTTTCTTCTGTATTTGATCTATGTTAAGGAAGGTATGCCACAGCAGCATCAGCAAAATTTGATCAAGACAAGCCAATATTCTACTGAACTGATCATAGGAATACTGACTAGATGATTAATTTCTTTTTCCTCATTTAGTATTGCATTTCGGATTAAGAATGTCTAGAATGGCAGATTCCTAACAAAGACATTTCTTCATTATGAATATTTTGCTGTTAGCAAATTTGACTTGTCAGTGATGATAAATCTTAGTTTGGCTCAATGTTCTTCCTTGATGGTAGCATAATTAATTTAACAACCACTAATACTGCTTGGATTTTATTTTATATATTCTAAAAATAATAATTCCACTCATATCCATCAGTACCCAATTCAAAACCAGTGAAAATTAAGAAGTACTATTTGAGCTCAAATTTTGTGATCCTTTACAAGTTCCTGATTTGTTTTATGTTTAACAGACACTAGAAGTAAATTGAAAAGTTATATATAGAATAGTACTTTATATAGGAAATAATTTTAAAACCCCACAAAACTACCTTAATGCAACAAATCAACTTCCATTTGCTTTCTGTCAATTAGAAAAACAGGAAAAACTGTAATTACTTTTTAAATTTTTGAGAATACATTTCCTTTTCTTTAGGGCTTAAGTAGCAGATAATACAGTGGTGAGCTGCATACAGATTCCTCATCTTTCTCAAGATGTTTTTTATTTTTGGCTTTTCTTAAGCCAACAGACATCATTCCAGTTCACTGAGAATTTTATTTCTGATGAGGATTATAAATATGGAGAGTGACTTAACAATTCTGCCCCTAGTCTGGTACAGAATGTGCACAGATTTGGGACCAGCTAATATTTACCAGCATGGCAAATAAGCAAATTAAACTGAAAGATATGTCACACCCATCACTGCTGCTGGAAACTGGCTGGTGCATTGAAAGAGAGTGGACTGAGGGTACTATCCATTCCAAAGCCCTCTTGAATCACCTGGCATATCACCTTGCCTCTTTCTGAAAATACAAATTATTTGGCTGCAGCTCCTGCAGTGAACCCACACTTTTTATCCTCCTAAAGGCTTTATCCAACAAAAAATCTTCCCCATCTAACACACTATTTATGCAAAATGGAGGTAACAGAGACTCACTCGGCAATTTTGAAAACCTCTGATCACTGGATACTCAAGCCCAAGAGGCTCCATAAATCCTGCAGTTACAACTCTATTTTCCCTGGTCCCTACAGAGCTTGGTTTTGCAAATGTTCTTTTTCTGAAAGAAAGATATTCTTTGGTACCACCTGTGAGTCTAAGCCCATCCAGGTTCCAGCATGCAGATATTTCCTCTGCCAAGACCAGCAATGACAGCAATCAATATGTTTATGCCTAGGAGAACAGGGAATTTAGTGGACAGAATTTGTGTATAGTTAAGTTCTCTGTGAGCTGGAAGAAGGGCTCTAACAATTTCAGCATTCAGGATACTGATTCTTCCACTAATATGAGTTTTGTTATTACACAGTGTATTAAAACCTATCTGGAATTTTTTTTAATTATTTTTTTTTTCTGCACCTTCAGGAAGTGCATTTGAAGAACACAAGTAGAGGAAACACAGGAAACAGAAACTACAGAATGTAAGAACATGCCATCCACAAGAACGAAGAATGAATGTGCCATCTGCAGGATACTTTGCTGTAAATAAATTATTTGTTAAACATTGGAAGACATAAAAAAAAGCAAACCTATGGCTTAATAAGCTTGATGCAATCTCAACCAATGGGCATTCTCCCAGTGAACAATGCAACTAAACATTCCAATATAAGTCTTTAGAAAACAGAACATTTTAAGCAGCCCAGAGCTAAAAAATTCTGTGGTTGATATATTACTGTTTGTTAACCTGTTTTAAATGTCCTGCACAAAATCTCTTAAAGTCCTGTGCCCCTCAAAAGCCTACAAATTTATGGGCCTTTGATGGATCCAATTGCACTAAATTAACCTATGAACACTGGCTGCTGGAGTCATTCATCAGCCTTGTCTAAGTGGTGGGTTTTTTTTATTTGCACTTCTATACAAGTAACAGGCTGTTTGTTTTACAGTGTCTGATAACATTGTTTGTCTACCCCTTCATATTTGCACAGTTTGACATCCCCAGAAACAGCAGCAGTACGGTAACATAGTTTTAAAAATCCATTAATTACATCTGTGGCATTTTGACAGAATATGGGTTATAGATACATTTGTTGTAAGACAGTTTTGTTTTTCCTTCTCTTGCAAAGATGCAGCTTATTGCATTTTGTGATACAAAAGAATTTTTAAAGCAGTTAAAGCATACATAGGCTCTCAAACCATTAATGACTCTTCAAGGTAATTGTTTTGCAACAGTATAGGTAACTTCTTTCTTCCTCCATATAATGCAGTATGTAAAATTTAGCATATCAATAATACACATTTATCAAGCAGTATGTAAAAAATCTCTGTTTTATAGTACAACGGTGCTATTTTATAGTTTGTTACATGAAAGGGTCTGGCCAAAACAGTAATAGGTAAAAACAAATATGAAAAGATCACGCCAAAGATTAAGAAAAAAAAAAAAAGATTTGGTTTAAATGAAATAAAATGGCTTCAGATTCCAACATGGAAATAAATTCCCCATCTTCAATAGAAAATTCAAGTACTTGTTTCCATTTAGATGTTTGAATGCTGGTGTTTATGCCACCTTATAGTAATGTGGAACACAAATTACACCTTACAGTAATGTGGAACACAAATTCAAAGATGCCTTCACCCGGAGAGGGCAATTGGAAAACCAGCCCTCAAATTAATCCAAAGGGTAACCCATGAGGGCCTAAATCTGGCTGAAATATCAGCATTCTATCAAATATAACAGAGCATTACTCAAGATCTCTGTTATTTTAATTCTTCCCACAATCAGATGTGATTAAATTGGCTGTTAATTAGGCTACTACATCTCTCTGTAAATCAGAAAATCTAACCTAATCACCAAATTACAGTGTAGAGAGTCCTCAAGAAGAGATGAACCATAATGTCCTTCAAACTGCTGCTCTCAATAGCTTTTCATGCCTTGTTGTGGGAGACATTTATTTCCAGATAATCCGCCATATAACTTTGGTAGGTACTGCACTGATTCGACCTTGAATAACAACACCATGTCCTATGCTCCATCTTTGTAAATCAGCTGAGTGCTAGATCAGCCATGCAGGAAAGGGGGATAGTTTATTGCTCACCAGTGTCCCAAGGTGACCAACAAACTTCTCTGTGAGAGGAGGGAAGAGACGGCAGGGGAGACTGCACTGCTCCGTCCTGTCCAGAACTGCAACCTGGTTCCACTCGACTTTCCTCCCATCACCCTGCACACAGTAAGGTCAGACAAGAGATGAAGTATCCCCTGGTCAGCCTCAAAGAGAGCAGGGAGAATACTGTATGAAGGGAGCAATTAGGGAGATGTTAGATTAGATCTCTAAAGGAAGTATTTATTTTTCAAAGGCTTAAATCTGCCTTACTTTCTATGACATCCATGGGAGCAGATGACTGCACTGTTGATTAAAACACAAGGGAAGAACGTCTGCAGACACCATACTGTACAGCTGCTTAATAGTTTCTTGTGAAACAGATAGGAAAGGTAGGTTTTAAAAGTCTAACAAGTATTAGAGTTCCTTTTTTATTCCCAAAGAAAAGTGGGGTTCTATATTTTTTCCAAGGGGAGAGCAATATTTTCCTACACAATCCTTTAAATCCTCTGCTTTCTGTGAGCTGTGTGTTTATACACACACTAGGCTGCCACCACAATGTAAAAGCAGAACAGTAAATGAATAAGACTATGTCACAGCTGCCTCTGACTGAGACAGTCATGTTGAAGAAGGAAAAAAGTACAGAGACGGATGGGAAACTAACCTAAATTATTTACTACCAGTTCATTAAGCAGTGGTACCAATTCTGATCTCTAGCACATCTCTTACAGACCTTTTTTTGGAAGAAGGAATGGGAGCGGGAAGTATTTTTGCTTCAATGGCTGTTAAGAATTGTGAATAGTATTCTTAGAATAAGCCATTATTTTGATGTCACCAAGAAAATACCTATTTCCATTTTGTCTCCCATTGCCCTTCCTGTCCTCTGTATCCTCTGAAGTTCTAAGGGGAGAAGCGAGGAAAGGTGTGAGTGCAAAAAGTAATTTGCAGGTCTCTGTGGTGGCAATTTTTTTTTAGGTAACATTTTAGTGATGCAGTTAACATAATTGAATAAGCACACATCCTTGTGATATTTAATCCTTTCAAATTAATTCAACTTTTGGACTTACCTTGGGATTCATGCACTCACATTCATGTTACCATATTTCTCCTGTTGAGAAACCACAATTAGAAAATGTCACTCACAGACAGCAATATCTAACATAAGACCCTGACAACTGTCTAAACAAATTAGAACAATCCTTGAAAGAAACTACAATGAATAATTCATAGCTGCAAGCTTCAAAGGCAACACTTTGCTTTACTAGGGAATTTATGGTGTCACAAAATGGAGAGTAGCTTAAGCACCACAGAGGTGAGAAATGCACGAATAGGAAATGAATACTTGTATAGGTAACCTCCAGTCATTTGGAAGGGCTGCATTAGGTTTAATAATCTCAATAGATCTGCTACTTACAAAGTAGAAGCATGAGCTTCTACTCCGTCCCAAAAGTACAAAGTAGTCTGACTTGAAAAACTTCTGATTAGAGAAACTGAGGGTTTCAGCTAGATTTTCAAAAGCACTCCAGATATTTAGGAACAGGGCTTCCACTGGATGCCTCTGATTCTCTTAATTCACTTAAGTGGTAAAGAAAATCCCACTGTCCATCCTTCCATATCATGCAAATTACATAACAAAAATCTCAGATTTTAGTATTCAAGAATAGACATAAAACTCCAATTATTACTCAGAATATCACTGAAGTGTGAAAGTAAAAAAGGTAGTTAAGCCTCATTATTTTTCTTAGTTCAAAAAAGGCTGCAGATCATAACCTGCTGAAATTAATAGATCCCTTCATCAAGGTAGCAAAATTTGAGCCTCATCTCCATAGTAACTATAATTAATTATTAAGAGTTTAGATGAAAATTAATAAATTCTATATTCTATTCCAAAGGTACTTAAAAATCCATGCTTCCATTTATGAAGGACTTGTGTGAGGCCCATCTATACCATTCAGTCAAGACAGCAAAGAATATCAAAGAATGGGATACTGCATTCAATCCGTGTAGATATATTAACTTGGGCACCTTTTACTCAAGACAGATTACAGTGTTAATTCCTTTTCTAAGATTAAACAGCAAATTAGTGTCAGGCTTCTTTTATAGAAATTAATTTCATTCATAACTAGTAGCTATGTTAGTTGCCTCATGAGCTGTTTGTTGACTTAGTATCAATGGTAAAAATCGATTAATGAAGACTCTAGGCCAAGTACTGTGTCTTCTTGGCTCTCCATTTTTACAAGCAAGTGCATGATAAGTTCAGAAAAGTGTATGCATATTTGTGCTACCTGTTACTGATTTGGCCAACAATGCCAAAGTGGTGCTATTGTTTTGTTTAAGAAAGTACTTGACTAAAATATAAAAGAAAGCATAAATATTTTTTTAATGTATGAAAATTACAATTATATAGGTATGGTTATTAAAATAGGAATACAACTAGCCATAACTTTTCAACTTTTTGTCACTTAGCCACAGCAACAAAACCTGAAATCAAATAAGATGGGGCAGGAATGAGTCAAAATGCCACAAAAATTCATAGACTTGAAATGCGATTTTGAATCTTTACTCCAAGTCAGAAATACAGATGAAGAAGAGCATTTTAAGTCAGGGAACAATGGATAGGACTGAAAGCCTGTTCAAATTAATGCATGTCCTGTATCATACCAAAGACTTTTAAGACACACTCTAAACAGAAATCAGCTAGAGTTTGGCTTAAGGTCAGTGGTATGATATGATCAAGATTTTCACTGAGCATGTTTTGTTTTTACCTTATTACCTTCTCACTCATGGCATGCCCCCTAAAAAGTCCATATTCTTTTAAAAAAATAACACCAAGAAATTAATCTGATACTAATAAGGAATGAAAAAAATAAATATTCCTAATGTGAAACTGATGCTGTTTTTAATTCTCACCAGTTTCAAGTTGTGAGAAAAAGTTGAAATATATGGCTAACAGTCTGTGATTTTTTTTTAACTTTATGTGGTCACTATGAACATCCTAATGTGCAAAATTTCACATTTCATTGTTTAGTTTTGAAATGTTCGTAAGTTAAGCCCAAATAGAGATTCTTGGAACTTATAGTCTAGATAGAATAGTTATGTTCTGATGAAGGTATAATCAATATATTTAAAATGTTTTATTTTTAGTCTGAAAAGGAATAGTAATAATTTATTTGGGGACTCAACCTGTACTGGTCCCTCTTTTAAGGATACTGTTCAGTGCAAACAAGTCTTCCAAACACAAAACTATTCAAGATAAATATTCATTGCCCCTCCTCCAAGAAACCTAGTTAAAACACTATTGCAACATAATTTTATTGTTTGTCTGTTTGTTGGGGGAAGGGATGTTTTGTTTTGATCCAGTTTGTTTTGATTTTGGGGGGGGGGAGCGGGGCAGGGGTAAGGAGAAGGAGATGAGGCTTTCAAGTGATTAACATTTCTTCCTCTGGGGTACAATCCTCAAAAAATAAAGAATTTACCTGGATGAGATCCTTAATTATCCAATTCATGTGTGGAAGTAGCATTAAGAAAAGCAACTAGATTAAAATTGTCTTGAAAGAAGGAAAAAAAGTTACTAACACACCAGTTTTACTAATTCTAACCCTACACTCTACATTTTGCTTCTCACAGCATTGGAATATTCTACTGGACTAAAACTGTCCATAACTGTCCACACAGTTACTGATTTATATATATATATATACACATACACACACACACACACACATGAAGAGTGTTATTGGACTATCTGAAACTTG